CCAGAAAATCACGGAAGAACGTTAAAATAAAATAAAATTATTGGTTATCAATAGTTCAATGTCTTACTATAATACTTAACAACTTAAATAATTTAGTGATGTAAGAGATTCTAAATTCGATTAGTAGAGTATGCGATTGATTGACGTGATATAAGAAATGAAAGATAATTACTTTTTATTGTAAAAAAAAATTTTTTTTAAAATCCTACATAACACTTTTTCACTCTACGCCCCTTTTTTCTTTAAGAATTGACTGTGTTTTCTTTTCCACTCTTCATTTTATACAATCACAAAAATTAATCACATATTATACTTCATTTAATTATTAATAAAATAGTAAGACTTTTGGTACTAAAAACTCATTTCTTTATAAACAATTAAAAAAATACAATTCGTATAAAATAAATTATACTTCTACGTTGTCTTATATATTTTATACAAATTGTATTTTTTTCAATTGTTTTTAACTTTTTATAATAATTGTTTTTGTAAATTAACTCTTGAAAACTTTCAAAGATAACGGATGGTGAACCGAGGACTGTGGACGACGAATGAATGTGGTAAAGATTGATGAATTTGTGAATGAGTTTATAGAGAACAAATGAAAGATTTGTGGATAGACAAATTTGTAGACATAAATAACGACAGACGTGGACAAGGGGATGGATGAATGAATTTGTGGAGGGAATGAGTAGTTGCAGAGGGATTTATGAATAGACACAATTATGGACCGTAATGAATGGACAGATGAATTGGTGGATGGTCAAATTTGTGAACGAATTTATGCATATGGGCAGTTTTGTGGCTGGACGTAAGAAGGTGCAGATGGACAAATTGATTTATAGATGTGGATAAATAGATACGAACGGAGAACAAATGAGTGTTTAGATGAAAAGATAGATTTATACACATGGATGAACAAATATAAATGAATATGTAATTTATGATCAGTTGTGAACAAGTGAATCTCTAGATGAGTTTAAAGTAGGATGAATTAACAGAGTTATTATTATTATTTTTTTTTGGGTAGAAAGAATTGATAAATTTTTTTTTTTATTTTGGTTGCACAACGAAAGATAATCATTTTTCATCTCTTATCTCACTCCACCCACACGTCATGCGATTTGAATTCAGTATCTTTTACTTTCAGTAAAAAGAAATAACCATTAATCTAATTAAGTTATTGACAATTGACAGATTTAGAATTGAAAGTTTTGTGGACAGCCAAACAAACATTGTGCAAATATACAGATTTGTACACATTTATGGACTTGGATGGATGGTCTAGGACAAATTTATAAATGCATGAATTTATGGACAATGGTGGACAAATGAACGTAATTATGGATAGGCGAACAAATTTATGGACAAATATATAATGGGTTAATCCGTTAATCTATCTTGTATTCTTAGAGTATAGGACAAGAAGCATTCATTATATAATAATAAATATTTTTTGTTTTAAAAATAATAAAGTTAAATTTTTTTTATTATAATTATAAATGTTATGTATTTGATTTTGATTAATTAATTTTAAATTAAAAATCAAAAGTTATTTTTAATATAAAATTTTATTATTTAAAAAACTTATAATTATTATTTAATAATAATTTTTTTATCATATATCTTTAAAACACAAAATAGATAAACCCATATATAAAAATATAAAAAAAAACAAAATAAATTTATAAACAAAGAGATAAATAAATAAAGATGGATGAGTTTACCATCCCAAAGCATAAACAAACGTGACCAGCGTAGATATTATCTTAATGTTTTTATTATTATTATTATATGAAAAAAGTT